TGGCTTGCATTTCCTGCTCTGATCCAGCATTCAGGGCACAGTCATCCATAAAAAGGAGGTCTTGTGGCACAGTTTCCTTTACCTTGGTGACAGCCTGGGGTTTTCTCAAGTTGAACAGTTTCCCGTTGGTCCTGTATCTCAGGCTAACTCCCAAAGAATTGCTTTGGAAGGCGTCTGACAGCATGGCTGAAAACATTATGCTTAACAGAGTCGGTGCCAGCATGCAACCTTGCTTGATGCCGTTTGTAATGGGAAAGGTCTGTGAAACTTCTCCGTCATTCAAAACACGAGCCATCGTGACGTCGTGGAACTGATGTACCATTAGGATATATCTGTCCAAACTTCAACATGATGCACCACAGACCTTTGCGACTGACAGTGTCAGAAGCCTTGGTAAGATCCACAAAGGTGGTGTACAATTCACAGTTCTGCTCTTGACATGTCCACAGTGCCACGCTCTTTGAGGAAACCGCACTGTGTCTCGGGTAGTAAACCCTGTTCCAGGTGGCCAATCAAGAGGTTCAGCAACACTCGTGCAAGGATCTTGCCTGAGATGGAAAGCAGTGATATTCCTCTATGATTATCACAGACTTGTTGATTCCCTTTCCTCTTGTAGAGATGTATGATGGGCGCATCTTTCAGTCCTGAGGAATGGATCCTTGATTCCGGAAGAGCTGGAACAGCAGAGTGAAATTGTCGACAAGCACTGCACCGCCATCCTTGTAAACTTCCACTGGGATCGCATCAGATCCTTGGGCCTTGCCACAGCTGGCTGATAGCCTGTAGGGTTTCACTCCTTGTTGGTGGGGCGTCCGGGCTGTAGGTGGTATCCGCCTTGGGCATTCAGTCGATCGCCTCGTTGTTAATGGAAGATGAGCAGTTCAGTACAGATTGGAAGTGCTCAGCCCAATGCTGTAGGATCAGAGTCTCTCAGTAATGAGAATTTCACCATCTGAGTCTAGTAGAGGGGAGCTCCCTGAGGGCTGAGATCCCTACAAGGATCTGAGGGCTTCATAGAACTGTTTGGCATTGTTTCTATCAGCAAACTTCTGAAGTTCATCTGCTTTGGCACTCAACCAGAAGTCCTGCATCTTGCGAAGCTTGCTCTGTGAGTGTTGTTGAAGGCATTTTTCTTAGCTGTTGACGACGGGTTGTTCTGATAAGCACGGTGAAGGCAGTGCTTTTCAGCAAGTAGGGTCTTGAACTCATCAGCATTTTCATCAAACCAGTCCTGGGGTTTTCTGTGTGAGGGTCCAAGAACCTTTAGTGCAGAAGAGTGCACAATATCCCAGAATCATTCCCAGTCCTTCTCAGGATTTCCCTCTAATTACAGCTCTGAGAGTTGGTTGTCAAGATCTTCTGCTAGTGAAGCTGCTGTGTTGGGGTTGCTCCATATACTGACGTTAATTTGTTTCATCACAGCTTTGTTTCCCTGCGGATGTTTCTTTGTTGGACTGACCATAGACTCATCATCTCCAAATTAAGCCAGTCAGCACTCGGCATGGCCTTGGTCACCCTTACATCCTGTCTGTCTTTCCTTCGCACGATGACATAATCAATAAGATGCCAGTGCTTGGAGCATGGATGCATCGAGGACATCTTTTTGCGAGTGGACAAGCGAAAGTTGGTATTGGTGATGATCAGATTGTGAGCTGCACATGTCGTTAGTAGTAATATGCCATTGCTGTTACATTTGCTGATTCCATTTTTTCCAATGATGCCATCCCAGGCAGAATGATCAGTTTCTACTCTTGCGTTGAATTTGCCAAGTAGAATCAGCCTGTCAGTTCGCTTCACAGATGAGAGTAGGGCATCAAGATCTTCATAAAACTTGTCTTTTACTTCATCCTGATTCGGCATTGTGAATGTGTAGGCACTGATCAGTGTTGCTTGTTTTCCTCTCAGTAGTGGGAAATGCAGTGTCATGAGTCTTAACCGCAAAGCCAACTCCAGATGCATGGCATTCATTGCTGCTGTGTCCACACCAGAAGAATGTATAACCACCTCCTGTTTATGTAAGCTGACCTTCGTTGGCTAGACGAGTTTCACACAGGGCTCGATGTTAAATCTTGCGAGCTGTCTGGCGACCTGGGCTGTTTTTCTTTCTGGTCGATCTGCTGAGGGGTTGTCTTGAAGCGTGCGTAAGTTCCATGTGCCAATAGTGAGTGGTGTCACCTTATGTTTTCTTTGAAGTTTTGTTATTCGACCGCATGAAATAGGATCCCCTCCAGCTGCGGTAAGCTGGCCAGGGTTCTGTAATGCAACCATATTTAGGGCACCTTTTCTAGCCCCTTCACTCTCTATTCCCAGATTCCATCTTGCTCCAATGGCAGGACAAGAGCTGAGACAGTTGGAGATGGGCTGGGTGCAGTGGTTGACCAGGGCGCCTTTTGTGCCTTGCAGTGCTCTTAGCGTACCACATTACTTGCAGAGACCACCTTCATAAACGTTGTCTTATTCTAGTAGGTTTCATCCACTCAATCCACCAGAATTTGTCTTCACATGCTTGGGATAGACAAATCCCTATCTCACCGAAGGTCAATGACCCAATGGCTACTCTCAACCTGGTTTGGCCAGCCTGTCGAAGCTGTTGCCCAGGGTGTGGCCAATGCGCATGCCACAGCTACTAGGAGCCACAGGTGAGAGCTGAGTGACAGGTGGGGACCAAAGGTGGATGAACTGCCCTGAAAGGACATGACCTGCCGTTACACCAGAGGTGCTACCCCTCCCTGAACACCCCATACACCCCTGTGAATGAGTAACTGTAAAAGAGAGGGTAAATGACAGGATCCCTTCACTATAGGAGAGACACAACTCTTAGCTCTCATACCCACTGCCCCGGACCTACAGCACTGGCTTCAAATTCGGGTATGAATAAAAACTAGGATTTTTCTTAAACATAGCAGCAATCTGGACCTAGGATAATTATATTATATAAGTAACTTCTTTCTACACAGCACAAGTCACCAATGGTTCTGGGAGAACCATTTTAAAGTAAGTCTCATCTCAGTAGCTGTAAACCAACTACAACAGCAGGAGTACAAGCAGTAATAAAGATGCATGGTGGCTGTAACCTTTCTCTTTTCTATTAAACATAAGCAATAAGAGATGTTAATGTTTTATTGGGTTCTTGTTTGAGAGATCCACTTTTTGAATGACCATCGCTACTGACTGGGAGAGAAAAGAACAGCCCTTCATATGCTGACTATATATACAGTCAGGTCCATAAATATTGGGACATCGACACAATTCTAACATTTTTGGCTCTATACACCACCACAATGGATTTGAAATGAAACAAACAAGATGTGCTTTAACTGCAGACTGTCAGCTTTAATTTGAGGGTATTTACATACAAATCAGGTGAACGGTGTAGGAATGACAACAGTTTGCATATGTGCCTCCCACTTATTAAGGGACCAAAAGTAATGGGACAGAATAATAATCATAAATCAAACTTTCACTTTTTAATACTTGGTTGCAAATCCTTTGCAGTCAATTACAGCCTGAAGTGTGGAAACGCATAGACATCAGCAGATGCTGGGTTTCATCCCTGGTGATGCACTGATAGGCCTCTACTGCAACTGTCTTCAGTTCCTGCTTGTTCTTGGGGCATTTTCCCTTCAGTTTTGTCTTCAGCAAGGGAAATGCATGCTCAATCGGATTCAGGTCAGGTGATTGACTTGGCCATTGCATAACATTCCACTTCTTTCCCTTAAAAAACTCTTTGGTTGCTTTTGCAGTCTGCTTTGGGTCATTGTCCATCTGCACTGTGAAGCGGCGTCCAATGAGTTGTGAAGCATTTGGCTGAATATGAGCAGATAATATTGCCCGAAACACTTCACAATTCATCCGGCTGCTTTTGTCAGCAGTCACATCATCAATAAATACAAGAGAAGCAGTTCCATGGGCAGCCATACATGCCTACGCCATGACACTACCACCACCATGCTTCACTGATGAGGTGGTATGCTTAGGATCATGAGCAGTTCCTTTCCTTCTCCATACTCTTCTCTTCCCATCACTCTGGTACAAGTTGATCTTGGTCTCATCTGTCCATAGGATGTTGTTCCAGAACTGTGAAGGCTTTTTTAGATGTCGTTTGGCAAACTCTAATCTGGCCTTCCTGTTTTTGAGGCTCACCAATGGTTTCCATCTTGTGGTGAACCCTCTGTATTCACTCTGGTGAAGTCTTCTCTTGATTGTTGACTTTGACACACATACACCTACCTCCCGGAGAGTGTTCTTGATCTGGCCAACTGTTGTGAAGGGTGTTTTCTTCACCAGGGAAAGAATTCTTCAGTCATCCCCCACAGTTGTTTTCCGTGGTCTTCCAGGTCTTTTGGTGCTGCTGAGCTCACCGGTGCGTTCCTTCTTTTTAAGAATGTTCCAAACAGTTGTTTTGGCCATACCTAATGTTTTTGCTATCTCTCTGATGGGTTTGTTTTGTTTTTTCAGCCTAATGATGGCTTGCTTCACTGATGGTGACAGCTCTTTGGATTTTATCTCGAGAGTTGACAGCAACAGATTCCAAACGCAAATAGCACACTTGAAATGAACTCTGGACCTTTTATCTGCTCATTGTAATTGGGATAATGAGGGAATAACACACACCTGGCCATGGAACAGCTAAGAAGCCAATTGTCCCATTACTTTTGGTCCCTTAAAAAGTGGGAGGCACATATGCAAACTGTTGTAATTCCTACACCGTTCAACTGATTTGGATGTAAATACCCTCAAATTAAAGCTGACAGTCTGCAGTTAAAGCACATCTTGTTTGTTTCATTTCAAATCCATTGTGGGTGGTGTATAGAGCCAAAAATGTTAGAATTGTGTCGATGTCCCAATATTTATGGACCTGACTGTACATACATATACTGTATGTATATGCCTTTACACGCACATGAACTTTTATAGCAGCCCAATCTTAGTGCCATGAAGCTCTCTATGCACTGTTATTGTGCTAATCTGAAGGCCACATGAAGTTTGGAGGTCTTTAGCTATTGACTCCTCAGACAATTGGTGCCTTCTGCACACTGTGTGCTTCAGCATGCGCTGACCCCGCTCTGTCATTTTATGTAGCCTACTACTTCATGGCTGAGTTTCTGTTGTTTCCAGTTGCTTCCTCTTTGTTATAATACCACTAACAGTTGATCATGGAATATTTAGTAGCAAGGAAATTTCATGGATGGACTTATTGTATAGGTGGCAATCTATCACGGTACCATGCTTGAATTCACTGAGCTCCTGAGAGCAACCCATTTTTTCACAAATGTTTCTACAAGTACTCTGCATGCCTAGGTGCTTGATTTTGTACACATGTGGCCATGGAGGTGATTGGAACATCTTAATCCAATGATTTGGAGGGGTGTCCCAATACTTTCGGCAATATAGTGTATATATATATATATGTATGTATGGGTGTGTGTATATAATAATTTTATATATATATATATATATATATTTATGTATGTATGAGGCTTGACTATTTCATTCTCAGAATGCCCACGGCTTAGCACTAAGGTGGCAAGTCATACAGCCATTCGCACTCAAGCGCGTTCTGACATGTTCTAACTTGCGTTCGCCTGGGTTGTAGACCGGTTAACTTTCCGGAGTAGTAGAAGAAATAACATGTATGCATTTCACTGTTGGTGGAAAATGAGTGACAGGAATCTGAAGCAGCAGATAAACATCAAATTTTTCATGAAAATTGGCAAAAGTGCAAGTACAACTTTAGCTCTGTTACAACAGGCTTTTGGTTAAATTCATGAAAAAAATCATGACTTGAACATGAACAGGGAAACAGTGCTGCAGATTCTAATGGAGGATTTGGGAATGAGAAAGATTTCCGCAAAGATGGTGCCTCGAATCTTGACAGAAGATCAGGAAGAGCATCATCTTCAAATTTCATCCAATCTTTTGAAGAATGTAGAGGTGTTTAATTATTTTTTTACAGGCCACAGGAATGAAATTGTCACACCTTATATATACAGTATATATATATATATATATATATATATATATATATATATTCGGTAACAAAGTTCTAGGTATTTTGGTTTGACTCTTGTATGCTACAAAACGCACTCAGAATCACTTGCAGAGAAGTAGCAAGCAGCTGTAGTGACATTGTGAAACAAAGTGAAAATATCATCATGCAGAAAATCATAATGGTTCAATCACATGTGTTCATTGTTTTAACCTATTTAATTTTAGTCCTTTTGCTGAAAGTTCTAAACTTTTCTACCCATGTATCCTGTAAATGTATTATAGAATTTTCTCTCCTTCTTGTACCAGGCATTTATTAATAAATAATCAGGCAGTGCCTGGAAGGAGAAATGCAGACTATTTATGAGTTACATCCCTACTAATTTAAGATGTCTTGACACTGCTGGGTACTAAAATGCTCAGCCACCAATGTTAAATTACCTTTGAGCCCACAAAGTTCTATAAAACAAATTCAACAAAATCCTTTATGTTGCCAACTATTCTCTTGTATGACAGGGAACTAAAAAAAATAAACCTCCCAGCAGGGCATACACTCTTCTCTTGAACATAATACAGTATGTAAGTGTATGTGTAGCCAGTTTGTCAGAGAACTATTACCATAGGGGATACTCCTATAGTAGATAACTCTGGAAGACCCAGAGTATTCCCACTGGTTTAACACAGAGCTCTGTTGTAGAGACTCCCCTGTTCATTCCAATGTGTAGCACAAATCCCCAGGAAACCAGACTTCATTAATTCCACACGCAACTACTTATTATATTTATTCAGCTGCGAATGGTTGGTCTGTTATATAAAGCTGTACATTGATCACTCCCAATATGCAATTTCCTGCAAACAAGACAGATAAAGTTGTGAATCTATAATATTTCTGGACAACTGCCAGTCTTATAGAGGAATGAAAAAGTAACTGATTCCTACTAGTTATTTCGGCGCTATGTGATACCCTCTCATTAAATGTAATTACTGAATATTTAGGTATTAGCATTAGCCTGGGTTTGGTCTTCGAACTTGAGCGCAGATTCACTGAAAGCTGAGAGACACATCATCCATGTACTATGATTGGCAAGAGCTTATCCAAATATTTTTGTAGAAAAATAGCTGTTGGAACTATGGATAAGTAATTAAAGGATAACTATATTCTGGACAAAGTTCCCATAAATTTACATAATATAAGGCTGTACACAGTTTGGATTATTTAAGCACACACGAGAAGTGCCTAAACTGAAACTTAAAATCAATTCCTGTCACACATGTTGATTTTCAGCTGTAAACTGTATAAGCACGGGTGGGTTAAATTCCACAATGAGGTTCATTGTGGCCAAATAAAGCTTTATGCCACATAAAGCCTTTCAGAGTTATTGTGGGCTGAGATCTGAATCTTATCTTAAGAAGACTTAACCTTGCCATAGATGGTTTGAATCTAAGCTGGTTCATCAGGGACCATGTATGGGCAGGCTGAATGTACCCAAGTTGATTGATTAATCAACTTGGGTACAACCAGCCTTTTGGGTTTTGTATGCATATATTGCTAGCAGCTGTTATAGTAATCGCTGTGTTCTCCTGACTCCGTGGGATCACACTGTCTATAGTTGGCTTTAAAGCCAATTTCTAGGCTGTGCCCCTCTCCTTAGAGCATTTCTATAGCAGTTTGTGACTCAGAGGTGACCCACTGCCAACTGGCCCCCTTGTTATGATGTCATCACACTTCTGGTGGGGTATATATTGCTGAAGGGACAACGGAAAGTGTCCACATCCCCCCAGCAATGACCTTGAAAAACCCTCCCACTCTACATTTTAGAAGATAGAAAACTCGAGACCCAGTATATCTTGTGAACACATATATAAGTAGGTAAAAGAGAGATTAGTTTTTGTTTTTATTGCTGCAGTGATCAGTTATGGTGAGGGCAGTATTGTTTGTATGGGTATCATTGGGGGGTTCCAGGTGGAGCACTAAAACTTTATTGCTTGCATACTCTCTTCTACATTAGAAACCCTGCTAAACTTCCTCTGCCAAAACCTACTGCTCCCAACAGGGGAGGGCCTGAGGGCAGGGGCGTATTTGCCACAAGGCAACCTAGGCATTTGCCTAGGGCGGCACTTTTCAGGGGGGTGGCACGGCAGCAGTGCCGCTCCCCCTTTTCCCACGGAAGGGACACTTCTGTGGGAAAGATACAGGGGCAGGGCCGCCATGGCTGAGGGACCAGCTGCAGAGGAGAGTGGAGTGGTGGGCGGATCCCCGGAGTGCGCTCGGAGCGCATGAGGGGCGGGGCCCACTGTCAGTGTGCCGGTATCCAGGTGAAGGCCAGAAGGAGGAAGTTGAAGAGGACGAGGTCAGGGGGGCAGAGCCAGCCCGCTCCTTTGCAGCAGCCACCGGAGATCGAGGTGGAGAAGGGACACAGGCATCCGTCCTGGGATGATCCTGACATCACCTGGAGGAGCCACTGCTGGACAGGTAAGTGCTTGGAGGACTGGTGCTCCCTTGGTCCTGTCTCCCTGTCCCCTCGATACACTGCCCCCCTCCTGTTCTACTTCCCTCCCCCGTCCCATTGCCCCCATCCATCACACTGCTCCGTGTCCCCACATGTCACCCGGCCCCACACCTGTTCCCCTGTTCCACTTCCCCCTCTTGTCCCCCACATTGTCCCACTACCACCCATCTGTCCCCACTGCCCCTCACCTGTCCCTCTGTGCTCCTCCTGTCCATCTGCCCCTCACCTGTCCCTCTGTGATCCTCCTGTCCAGCTGCCCCGATCCTGTTCCATGTCCCCTCTCATGCTGCCCTCCACCTATCCCTCTGTGCTCCTCCTGTCCCACTGCCCCTCACCTATCCTTCTGCGCTCCTCCTGTCCCTCTGTGCTCCTTCTCCTGTCCCACTGCCCCTCACCTGTCCCACTGCGCTCCTCCTGTCCCACTGTCCCTCACCTGTCCCACTGCCCTACCTATACGTCTGCGCTCCTCCTGTCCCGCTGCCCTGATCCTGTCCCATGCCCGCTGTCACGCTGCCCCCCACCTGTTCCTCTGCCCTCCTCCTGTCCCACTGCCCCCCACCTGTCCCTCTGTGCTTCTCCTGTCCCACTGCGCTTCTCCTGTCCCACGCCCCCTGTCACGCTGCCCCCTACCTGTCCCTCTGCGCTCCTCCTGTCCAGCTGCCCCAATACTGTCCCATGCCCCCTGTCCCACTGCCCCTCACTTGTCCCACTGCGCTCTTCCTGTCCCACTGCCCCTCACTTGTCCCAGGGGCGTATTTGCCACGAGGCAAACAAGGCATTTGCCTAGGGCGGCACTTTTCAGGGGGGGGGTGGCAGGGCGATGTAAGTATAATTGGTGTCAGTGGGAGTAATTGTGCCCCATCATTAGTGTCAGTGTGGGAGGAATAGTGCCCCCTCATTGGTGTCACTGACACCAATGAGGCTGCACTTTTCCTCCCACTGACACCAATGATGAGGCACTATTCCACTGACACCAATGATGGAGCACTATGCCTCCGGGCCTCCCACTGACACCAATGATGGGGCACTATTCCTCCCACTGACAATAATGATGGGGCACTTCCTCCCACTGACACCAAAGATGGGGCACTATTCCTCGCACTGACACCAATGATGGGGCACTATTCCTCCCACTGTGACCAATGATGGGGCACTATTCCTCCCACTGACACCAATGATGGGGCACTATTCCTCCTACTGACACTAATGATGGGGCACTATTCCTCCCACTGATACCAATGATGGGGCACTATTCCTCCCCCTGACACCAATGATGGGGCACTATTCCTCCCCCTGACACCAATGATGGGGCACTATTCCTCCCCCTGACACCAATGATGGGGCACTATTCCTCCCACTGACACTAATGATGGGGCACTATTCCTCCCACTGATACCAATGATGGGGCACTATTCCTCCCCCTGACACCAATGATGGGGCACTATTCCTCCCCTGACACCAATGATGGGGCACTATTCCTCCCACTGACACCAATGATGGGGCACTATTCCTCCCACTGACACTAATGATGGGGCACTATTCCTCCCACTGACACCAATGATGGGGCACTATTCCTTCCCCTGACACCAATGATGGGGCACTATTCCTCCCCCTGACACCAATGATGGGGCACTATTCCTCCCCCTGACAACAATGATGGGGCACGATTCCTCCCACTGACACCAATGATGGGGCACTATTCCTCCCACTGACACCAATGATGGGGCACTATTCCTCCCACTGACACCAATGATGGGGCACGATTCCTCCCACTGACACCAATGATGGGGCACGATTCCTCCCCCTGACACCAATGATTGGGCACGATTCCTCCCCCTGACACCAATGATGGGGCACGATTCCTCCCCCTGACACCAATGATGGGGCACGATTCCTCCCACTGACACCAATGATGGGGCACGATTCCTCCCACTGACACCAATGATGGGGCACGATTCCTCCCACTG